ATGACTCAGATTATTATTTTTTTATGAAAATTTTACAACAATTCTGGCTGTTTTTGAACGTAAACACAATTCTTAAATGAAAAAAAAGGAAAAATTGGGGAAGTTATAATATTTGTATAATTTAATTTAGAAACAAATGATGTATAATTACATTTTTAGAAGATATGAGGCTTTTAGTGTTTACTTTTTTGACATTACTTTAATCTTTTGCCATAGTTTGCACATGTCTATTGGCTAATAAATGTGATGTATCTGTTGAGTTTCAAGCATTTCAAGCAAGCTAAGAGTCCCAAAAGCATCAAAAAATAATGTTAAAGTTTTGTTTCGTTGCCACGGCATTTTGAAAGTGACCACACTTCCTGCTGCCAGTTGGTGGCGCTAAAACTTTGACTCACAATAGTCACATCCATGTGATCGGTCTCTTACAGCGAAAACACTGCTGAAGTTTCGTCAAGATCAGTTAATGTATGCTGAAGTTATAACACACATCCTGTTCATGTTTCTCGCCATAATTTCGTTTCCTCGCCACGGCCAAACCGTTCGAGATATCAAAAATCCCGTGGCACTTTTTCATCCTTAATGTCTTGACTTCACGCTGATCGAGTTTCGTCGAATTTGGTTCAGTGCTCTAGGAGCAATAATTTAAATTACATTGCATGTGTTTTAAACACAACCCTAAATAGCCAACTTCCTGTTGGCTGGGGTAAAAAGTAAGAGTGTGAAGTATATATGAAACGATGAGATCTATATGTGTACCAAGTTTCATATTATTACATGCAAGTGTGTTTGATTTATGGACCAAATTTTCAGACCAAGTTTATTGACCAAGTTAATCTGATTAATAAACTAATTATATAAAACTATTGTCAATTCACTACAATTAAACTAGTTATATGCCTTTACTTATAAAAAATAAAAATAAAAACTTATTTAAAAAATACCAGGCTTGAGAAATGTATTTTCTTTATGCAGGTCATACACACAGCAGTGAAATGGTTAAGCCCCCTCCCCCTGCACACACACACACACACACACACACAGACAGCCAGCCAGCCAGCCAAAGACACAGAGACACAGAGACATGTAGGCTCAGAGTGGCCATATTCAAACAAAAATATCTGACTTTCTGTGGGTCCTAGCTAATAAGTGTCAATTAGAAAGTTGTCCGGCTCGAGGAGTACAATATACATACCAATTTTTGTAACTCTAGTTAAAACTAACAACCCCACTTTTGTCAAAAGGTGGCGCTACTGAGCCCTCACCACGCCCGTTTCTGAAACTTTGCACATGTCTACTGGCTAATAAATGTGATGTGTCTGTCGAGTTTCATGCAATTTGAAGCATGCTAAGGGTCTCAAAAGCATCCTAAAGCATCCTAAAGAAGGCAAAGTTTGATGCGTCGCCACGGCAACAGTTTCAAAGATATCAAGAATCCATTCACAGGTCTACATCTGCCGTATGTTTACATTATACAGATGAAGTTTGAAGCAAATCGGGTAAAAATAAAAGGGTGATTTCAAAGCATTTTGAAAGTGACACACTTCCTGCTGCCAGTTGGTGGCGCTATAACTTTTACTCACAATAGTCACATCCATGTGATCGTCCTCTTACAGCGAGCACACTGCTGAAGTTTCATCAAGATCAGTTAATGTATGCTGAAGTTATAACACACTTCCTGTTTCACGTTTCTCGCCATGATTTCGTTTCCTCGCCACGGACAAACCGTTCGAGATATCAAAAATCCCCTCGCAAACTTTCATCCTCAATGTCTTGACTTCACGCTGACCGAGTTTCGTCGAATGTGGATCAAAGCTCTAGGAGGAGTATTTCAAATACCATTGCGAGCGTTTTACAAACAAACCTCAATAGCCGACTTCCTGTTGGGCTGGGGTAAAAAGTAAGAGCGCGAGGTATAGATGAAACGATGAGATCAACATGTGTACCGAGTTTCATATTATTACATGCAAGCGTGTTTGAGTTATGGACCGAGTGTTCGGACCCCGTTCCAGGGGGCGCTGACGAGCCCCCCTGCCACGCCCAGGTACCAGCTTCAGCCCGGCTCTGATGGCCGCGGGTTCTGACCCGTGTGCAAAGTTTCAAGAGTTTTCGAGCACGTTAAGGGCCCCAAAAGTGCCCAAAAGGTAGTAAAATAATAATTATTATAATAAATATAGCTGCGAGCAGCGATGGCGGGCCCAAGCCGGTGGCACCGCAACCCCGGTTCCTTCAGTTACCTAAAGGCACCCGGGTGGCGGTGCCGAAGGCTTTGGCCCTTTCATGATTAAATGTTAAAACGGCTTGCCATACTCTGTCATTTCGACTAGTCAAAATTATGTTACAGATATCTTAAATGATAATACAAACTATCCAAAATGTAATTACGACTAGACAGAAAGACGTTGTTGATATCTACAATGTTAATTCCGGATAGGCAAACTTAGCTTTTAAATGTTAAAAGGGCTTGCCATACAGGGACGTAGGCTCAGAGAGAGGCTCACCATATTCAAACCAAAATATCGGACTTCCTCTTGGTCCGAGCTAATGACTATGTAATAGAAAGTTGTCCGGCTTGAGGAGTAAAATGTATATACCGATTTTTGTAACTGTAGATAAAACTAACAACCCCACTTTTGTCAAAAGGTGGCGCTATTTAGTCCTTGCACCATGCCCGTTTCTGAAACTTTGCACGTCTACTGGCTAATAAATGTGATGTATCTGTTGAGTTTCAAGCAATTTCAATTTCAATTTGACTGTTGAAAAGAAGTGCGCCGATTAGATACTCAGGATCGGTATCGGCTCTGACACTGCCATCTTTGACGAGGCTGATTCAAATTCTATATTGTGCATATACTATTCTATGTAAGGCACAAAGGCACAAAAACTTTCTAAAGTACCATAAAGTTTTTGTGTACTGTATCATAAGTGTTCTGAAGCTATTATGTGATATAGAAATTAATATTTAAGTCATTAAATTCAAGAACACGTAAACTTTTCCCTCTCTGCGCCTGTCAGTCATTCTCCATTCAGCATTCAAACAGCACGTCGCATTCGGTTACAGTCAACGATGAAACGATCTTCAAGATGATTCAATGTTAATCCTATTATACTGGGTCTTTAAGATAAAGGTCTAAAGGTCTATATTTTCGAATGAAGAAACTTTTTCTTGCTGGACTTTATTGCTGTAACTTAATCGTGTTACTTTCTACCGGGTGTCAGACGCTGTCGGTTAGATCACAACACTAGAGTCAGAGCACTATAATTGTTCTTCACGCACACAGTAACTGAAATTTAAAACCTTTAAAAGAAAAGGCTCAATAAACTATTGCATAGATAGATAATGTATAATACACTGTTCATAAATATGTATTTCCTTTGTGCTTTGAACTTTTCAATACGGACTCAATACGCTGTAACTTCATGTGGCTTCAAGCACATCATTCTCCGCTCGGGATGCACATAAGTGCTTTGTGCTGCACCGTATTAGAGCCGTAATATCATAATGCAGTGACGTAATGACAGATTATTAATTGCCTTTCAATTATATGTTGCTGCGTCATTAAACATCTGTCCTATGCATTTCAAACATTTATAGCAGCCATGGCTATATCTTTTTATGATTTTTGTTATCTTGTTTTTCATGAATGTATTTTTTAAAAATAAGAGCAATGTGTATTATCTATTATTAATATAGTTTATAATAGCATTTTTGTCATAGATTATGACAAAGTAATCATATGATCCACCAGCGAGGAACCAGCAGAACAGAGTGAACATTCTTTCTGTTTAGTTCAATCCTACTTAATAGGAATTTATTTAAAATGCTCGCTCTACTCCACACCATTAATGTCTTGTGCGGACATCCGTATTTCGACTTTCGGTTTTAAGTAAGCGATTTAAAAGCTCCCAAGTCCCAGCGGAGTCACACGTTGATTAACCGGTGGGAATATACACAATAGGCCTACCTGATATTGAACACAAGAGGGCAGTATAGCACTACGTATGACTCAGATTATTCTTTTTTTCTGAATTTTACAACAATTCTGGCTGTTTTTGAACGTAAACATAATTCTTAAATGAAAAAGGGAAAAATTGGGGAAGTTATAATATTTGTATAATTTAATTTAGAAACAAATGATGTATAATTACATTTTTAGAAGATATGAGGCTTTTAGTGTTTAC